GATTTGGGTGAAGATTTACAGAGCAAATTCACTTTCCATACAGCAGTTCACATACACTTTGTTTCATGTCATTGACCACAGTTTACCACAATGCAACATAAAGCTGTAATCTTTATGAAAGTAGACCACTGAGTCTTTTCTCCCATGTAGCAACTCATAGATTCAAACCACTGAACTTTTGGTTATTAATCTATAAGCAAAATGCTTAACTACTGTGACACCAGTGTGTCTTAACAGTTATTAAGAGTGTTAAAGTCTGCAATGGTCATCGGTGCTATTTTTCTGACCTAGAACTAAGTTTTCAAGGCCCATATAGAAAACTTAATTGCTATATATCCTAACAACAAATACATATTGGATAAATAATGAAACACAAGGATTCTCAAGTTGGTTCCTAAATTCCAGTACACTCTGATACTTGAAAGTTTCTTATATGTTACTCTATTTGTATAATAAAATTTCATTATTGCTTAAGTAGGTCAAGGTTTTGTTTTTTTTCCCTGTTTATTAGAGTAGGAGAGAATGAGAGAGAGAGAGAGAGAGAGAGAGAGATAAACCTCACCAATACCAACTTAAAAACTAAAAACTCACTGCCATTGAGTCATATCTGACTCATAGCAACCCCTCCTTGGTTTTCCGAGGTGGTATCACAATGGAAGATACCAACATTCCTTCCGAGGAGTGGCTAGTGGGTTTGAACCACCAGCTTTCTGGTTAGCAGTCAAATGCCTTAGGCACTATGTCACCAGAATTTCTAACATCAAACTTAGTATACATTTATATATAGTATAGTATTTTATAGTTTTATTATCTACTGGTGGAATGATAGACTTTGTCATCCAAGAAAGGAAGAATATAGCATTATTTTGGGGTATTAAGATAGCAGTAGGTAGCCATGGTGACACATTGATTAAAGTACTCAGCTGCTAGCCGCTCTAACAGAGAAAGGTGTGGCAATCTGTTCCCCTAAAGATTACAGTCTTGTAAACCTTATGGGGGCAGTTCTACTCTGCCTTATGGGGTCATTATGAGTTGGAATTGACTTGATGGGAATGGATAAGAAGTCCTTAGGTGTTTGGCAAGCAGAAGATTCTTGAATTTTCCCTTTAAATTATCATTTTGTACACCAATCCTAAGGGCAAATGTATTTCTTTGTTGGAGTTTTAGAAGAAGAAAGAGCAATTTTTAACTATATCCTTACACCTGTGGTACTTAAGAACAGATAATATCTCCCAAAGTGAATGCAAAGGAACGAAAGAATTAATATGACTTAGTTAAGCATAACTAATAGTAAAAGTAATATGGAATTCATGGTTCATACTGTATTTGGTATGACCCATTGATTCTTCAGATCTTAGGCATTTGGCTGATAACCAGAAGGTCAGTAGTTCAAACACACCAGTTTCTCCACGGGAGAAAAATGAGGCAATCTACTTTCATGAAGATCTACAGCCTGGGAAAACCTGTAGTAGTTGCTAGGAGTTGGAATCTACTCGATGGCACTGAGTTCCTATTGCCCCATCCTTTCACATTTAATCCCTCCTCTTACATCACCTTGTCCTAAAATTTTAAGTGCAGGTGATGCAGAAAGCTTTCTCTCTAGTCTGGAGGGCCAGAGAAATGAAGCTGGTATCCCTGTAGTCAGAGGTATGGATCTACAAACTATACCCTAAGGAAAAGCATGAGCAGTCTGTTCCCTTCACTTTCCAATGGCACCAACAATACTAAATGAGCAAATTGATGAGAAACAAGAAAGTGCTAACAGGACCCTTAATTTTTGTTTTTACACAGTACATTAGGGCAGGACCTCTGGAGGTGTTTCTTTAAGACCTCCCAAAGACAGACAGATGGAACTAAGAATAGATCCAGGTAACTGAGCCAAGAGCATGTTAATCCATTTACATTTATAAACAGAACACACAGTATCTTGGGTTACAGTAATTGCAAATATGTGACCTAGAGCAGGTTTTTTCTTTAATGTGGTTACTAATTACCTGGGAATATGGACAACATGCAGATTTGAATATATTAGATCTGAGGT